CCTACGCCATCAGCAGGAAAAAATTTGAGCAAATCAGCCTGAAGGCCACAGTCAGCCCCCACGACCAGCTTACTTTGCCTTTTTAGTAAATGATGCTTCCAAGTGTACTTAGGTTTAGACAAAGGATCAGCCTCTAAGGACTTAATTAGATGCTGTAAATTGTCGTCTACAAGCCAAGACTCACGCGCTCTCTCATACAATGGAGAGATAGGCATAGAAATAGCCAAACAAAACCCATCGGAGCATCTGGATAAGGCATCAGCTGCTGTATTGTCGCTGCCCTTACGGTAAACGATCTCATAGTCCAATCCCCAAAGCTTATGGAGCCACTTACACTGTTCTTGACACAAATCACGTTGCTCTAAAGGGTGTTTCAATGGTAAATGATCTGTTTTAATAATAAATTTACGGCCTCAGAGATAAGAACGCCATTATTTAACAACAAACACAATGGCTAACAACTCACGTTCGTAAGCTGATAATTGCCTCTTAAGGGTGGATAGTACCTTACTAGCAAAGGTGATAAGGTGGCCATTCTAAGACAAGATAGCCCCCATTCCATGTCCCGAAGCATCAATTTCGATAACAAAGTCTCACTAAAGTTGGGAAGAGCAAGCACTGGAGGGGAAATCATAGCGCTTTTGAGAGACTCAAAAGCAGATTGAACCCAAGAAGTCCACACAAAGCGTTCATTCTTCTTCAACAACTTAGTCAAAGGACTACTAATAGAACCATAGTTTTTGACAAACCGTCTATAATAACCCGTAAGTCCAAGAAACCCCCACAACTCTTTAACGGAAGATGGAACTGGCCAAAAAGCAATAGCATCCAGCTTCCTCGGATCAGCTTGTACACCATCAACAGTAATAACATGGCCCAAATAATCAATCTCTCTGGCAACAAAAGTACACTTTGAGGCCTCAACAAAAAGGTGATGCTACCGTAAGATTGTCAAAGCTTCTTTCAAATGCTCTAAATGCAATGTCCAATGCTTACTATAAACCAAAATGTCATCAAATAAAACCAGGATAAATCGATGCAAAAATGGCTTGAAAGCTGAATTCATTAAACCCTGGAAGGTGGCAGGAGCATTAGTAAGACCAAATGGCATTACCATAAATTCATACAACCCTTCATGAGTGCAGAAGGCAGTTTTAGGAATGTCAGCTTCATGCATCCGTATTTGGTAATACCCTGCTCGCAGATCCAGCTTGGAGAAAAATTGTGCCTCGATCAATTCATCCAAAAGTTCCTCAATGATTGGAATCGAGAATCTATTTTTAATCGTGGCTTCATTCAATCGTCTATAGTCAACACAGAAATGCCATGCACCATCTTTCTTTTGGACTAAAACAACGAGAGCTGCAAAAGAACTATTGCTGGCCCAGATAATCCCATTGTTGAGCATTTACTGGACTTGCTTCTTAATCTCATTTTTCTGTACAGGGCCATATCGATAAGGTTTGCAAGTGATGGGTTGATTTATTTTGAGAGGAATAGCGTGATCAAATGAACGAGTGGGGGAAGGGTAGAGGGTTCAACAAATACATCTTGGAAAGAAGCTAAAAGATCTTGCAACTGTGGCTGTTAACTGCTCAAGAGAGATGAGTTCAATGGAAGTTGAACTTGTAGGTGATGAGGGGCATGAATCAAGTAGAGATGATCAGCAGTAAGCACCGTACCCCATGAGATGGTGACTGGAGAATTAGAGTCCTGTGGGTTGTACCCCAAACCCTTCAATTCGATCAAATTGCCATCCTTATAAAATTCAAATAATTTTGCAACCATATCCATAGTGAATCTGCCCAAGGTTTTAAGCCACTGGGCTCCCAAAATCAACTCATAACCTCCGATTTTCACAACCAAAAAATTAGAAGAGAAAAAAGAATCACCCATTTCTCATTCTAAATCCGAGCAGTGTTTTGTAATGAGTAGTTGTTAAGTGTCAGCCACAGTAATTCGAACACCTTGTTTCTCTTGAACATGCAACCTAAGGCGTTTAGCTAGACCAGAATCGATTACATTATGTGTGCTGCCTATATCAATTAGAATAATAATCCCCTGATGTTTAACACGGCCAACAAGTCGCAAAGTGGAAGTGCCAGCTTTAAAGTGCCAGCTTTACCTTCAACAGCATTAATAGTGCCCAGAGGCTCGTCAGACTCAACAGATTCCTAGGCATCTTCGAAAGCATCTAAATCATCCTCCACAAGGCAAAGACTTAGGAATCCTTACACTTATGTGAACTACTGTACTTATCACCACACCAATTGAAGAGGCCTTTGTGTCTGCGATCGTCCATTTCCTGTTTGGATAAAGCCATGGAGGGCTTTAAGGAGGCCGATTGCCCGAGATTGGACGAAAGTTGTGTTCTGGGCTTATCCACAGTTCGGCCCATAAAAGAAGCAGTCATAGGAGTTGGGTCTAATTTAAAACCTAAAGAAAAAGAGGAAACTCGAAGTCCTGTAGCTGATTGAGATAGTGAAGATTGAGAAGGTAAAAACCTTCGAGAAACATGAGGAGTGTTTTCATGAATCGCTCGAATTGTGGCGAGTTGGTGTCTAGCTAACTTCATCGCAGTGGTCAGGGATTTCGGTTGAAAGCTGAGGACTCCTTGCTGTACGTCATCCTGAAGACCCCCGATAAAGCAATTCATCACTGCCTCTTCAGATAAATGCACTTCTATCAGTAATTCATCAAATTTTTCTTCATATTCTTCTATAGAAGCCTTCATTTGAAGCTTTTTAAAAGCTATCATGGGAATGTCATCATTTACATCACCAAATTTTAGCCTCCATTTCTTTAAAATAGTCATCCCAAGAAAGTTCAGAAAGTGGGCGTTGTTTCACAAAAGCTAAATGCCATGTTAATGCTCATTTTTCTAGATGAATGCTCAAAAGCCGGATTCAGTGTTCAATAGGTGTTTCATCCACAGCAAAGAATTGACAACAGCAATAAGACCACCCTCGAAAGTCTGTACCGTCAAACTTGGGAAACTCTACTCTGGTATGTTTAGTTGGAACCAAATAAGGTTGGGTGGGTGTCAGAAGAATGCCCTGAAAAGAGCCAAACAAAGGTGGTGGTATGGAAATGCAAGGAAGGGAAACGACGGCAAAAGGAGTGGCTAGCCGAGAGAATCATGGGGGTGGAGGAATAGCAAGAGTTAGTAGAGGTGTTGGTGTGTTCACAGAAGGAGTGTGGGATGGTTCACCGGTTTCAAGGGTAACAGGATGAGGTGGTAGAGTAGTAATCATGGAAAGCTTAGCTAATATATCAGTCATTTGGCTCGATAACTGATTCATGGTCTGCTTTATCTCGGAAATCTCCTGGGAATGTTTGTCCAAAGTTTGTTACGTGCTTTGAACCAATGCTAATTTCATTTCCAGGCAGTGTTCAAGATCACCCACGCGCTCGGTAGAGGATCGCATCTCTGGCGAACCCATGGCTAGAGAGACGGCTATGATACCTTAATGTTAGAGGGAAGAAGAAGATAGAGGAGAAAAGACTAATTCATTTCATAAAATCGGCTAGAGGGACAAGACACGATATATATTCTACCCTAGACACGTGCCATAAGAAATGAAGGTCCTATACTGTCAATACCATCCTAAGATTCACCAATAATTAGAAAACACAGCAACATAATGCATAAAGACAATAAAGCCCTCTATAAAAGCAGTAACATATAACAGATTTCAATCTTTAGTAGTAATGTCCAATGTAAATGACTAAAAGGGGTATTTTAGGGAAACCAACACATTTTTCACAAATATTTTTCACAAATAACTTCAATAATTTTCTTAATCTCTATAAATTAATTATCTAACTCCCACATTTAGAACTAGATGGAGTATTAAATAAGAGATACAAAGAAGATTGAGATCCTATATTTAGGACCAAAACGAATCCCTCAACTAGGTCTTATATTTAGGACCCAAGGGAGTATAAAGAAAATGGCTGCGAAGGAAAATCAGAAAAGTATCAGCAACCTTATAAGCAGGCTATGTATCATTGCACATTGATATCAGGAGTATTTACGTTTCTTCATCCAAGCAGAAAATCATGTTAAATTAGTAATTGTGATTAAGGAAGCATGTGGTATTGCTGCATGCAATTTTCTCTTCTAGCAATCCCCTCCTCACTCACTCCTTGAAACATGTGAGATAACGGACACCTCTTCAGTAAGCAAAGAACTCAACTCCCTTACAAATGACAAATTCTTCAATACATCACAGTAGAGCTCAAAATTGACAGTTTTATATAACAAAAAATGCATTCACATATTGGAATCATCCAAAAAATAAAAAAAAGTAACCAACACGAACATATGATCAAACACAACAGAGATTCATGTATTTTCCTGTGAAAGCTGAGTATTCTTTCTTTGGTTTAAAAGATACATGCGTATGAAGACACCTCCATATATCTATCTATGCTAATAATTCCAATCAATTGAGAACGGCTTCAGAAACACCTTCACCAGCTTGCGTCCCTGGTCGCTTGCTGGCGAGGAGAATTCTCAGCGGCAATGTCACCTGTTCAAGACGCAGTATCTGAGAGACACCGTCAGCTATAAAATTCTGTTTGATTGTTTGCTGCAATTCCAACATAATTGAAAGTACACGCCCCTAACAAAATTCCCCTACAATTGGGTCGGCTCACATCTACTTTTATCTTTTTACTTTTTTGCATCAATTTGGCTATTTCCATGTTTAGTTCCCAAACAACCCCCCTATCGCTGAGATATACCCTTAACACTCGACTACGAGCTCCAAAGATTCAGAAGCCTATATATTCTGCCAAAAAAGGAAAAACATGGTATACCAATAAATTTGCTATCATCCATGAACGAATGAATAACATAAAAATTCTCAGTTCTCAATCGTACAAACTGGCAAGTACTCAGTCAACACTCAACATAGTTCCATGAAAGCTAAACCAGAGATGGGCATAAATAAATCAGACAAAGGTAAGCATCAAATAAAGAAACATGGCATTACTTTTAACCACAATTTTGCTTGCGAGCGGGTAGTCATGGAGAGATGCTCTGAGCTTGAGAGGAAAAGAATAAGTTGACCTGGATTCGGATGCTCTTACGGTGGCTAAACGGAAGGCGAAGACGGAGGAAAACGCAGTCGTGGTAAGCATCGCGAACGGGGACTCAGAAAGCGAAGAGCATGGCCTAGGCTGAGTATCCACAGACCCTCGAGCCGGCGGCAGGAAACAGCATCAACCCCTGGCTAAGTGGTAATTGAATTATCATCGAGTTTTGTCTAGAACGGGAACTCTCGATCCCTCAATTTTCTATAATAATAATAACAATAACAATAATAATAATAATAATAATAATAATAATATTTTTAAAAAAATAATAATAAAATTTTTTTAAATTATATAAATAATAATGTGATTCCTCAAAATATTATAATATCAATAAAGTTTTTAAATATCTTTTTTCTTAATAATTTTTTTAGAGAAAAGATCATTTTATCCTTACTAAAAATAACAAACCTCAACCACAATTTTTGTTTAACGAATCACAACTTTTATTTTGTAAATCATAAGAATTAAATAAAAAATCATAACTTGTTCTTTATCATTATATTATTAAAAAATAAGCCACAATCATAAATTTTGTTTAAAGAATAATAATTTTTGTTCTATAAATTACAAGAGTTGAACAAAAAATCACAATTTATCAAGTGTAATTTCTATTATTAAAAATAAATTCTCAAAATAACAAACCCCATTTACAACTTTTGTTTAAAAAATCACAATTTTTCTTCAAAGAATCATAGCAATTGAACAAAAAATTATAATTTGTCAATAAGGATAAAACAATCTTTTCGTTAAAAAAGTTATCAACATAGATGTCCCTAGGGGCTTCATTGATATTATGATATTTTGAAAAATCAAATTATCATTTACATAATTTGGAAGAATTTTATTATCATTTTCCCTAATATTTTTGATAAAATAATAATAATAATAATAATTTTAACTATAATAACTGCTTGTCTTTTTAAAAAAATTGAGAAAATAATAGTACAATCCCCCTTATTATATAAAGGATAAAGGGGCAAAAATATCTACAAATTAGTCAATCAGAGGTGCTCAATATTCTAAAGTGAGGAAAAGAGTAAAAATACCCATAACATTACATGAGTAGATGCAAAAGTGATCGAACTATTAACTTTGACCTAATGCCATTAACTTTGACTAATAAATGTTGCCTGTATATGCCATGTGTCAGCCTTTGCTGTTAGTGGACTACTAAAGGGATAAAAATATTCATGAAGTCATTGACTAGGAGCAAAAATATCCATAATGTTATTAGATGTAAAAATGATCAATCCATCAAATCCCTTAAATATTAACTGTTTAGCTGATACATAAGCAGAAGTTGACCATTTTTTTGCTGACACAAATAAAAAATATTCTCAGATGAAATTCTCTGGAGGTTAATCAATTATTATATGAATATTATGTGAGAAAATATTGTTTTCATCGATTATCAAATTAAGTCGTTTGTTTCTTTGCAGCAGTGGCGAAAACCATTTGAAAATTTTAAACCTATCATGAATGAAATTGCTTACAATTGTAACAATGTTCTTAAGGTAACGCGACGTAGGAGGTGTGCTCAATCTCAATCTTCAAATGTGTACAACAAATCTCACTATGTTGAATATCAAGTTTTGCAAAGAAAAAAAATGAGTGGAAAGGGAGAAAGGAAGGGAGCGAGATATGTGACGATGGGAAAAAACCATGTGATATAAATTTTGACAGATTGGTTACTAATTATGGGTACTCATATAATGATTGATTAATATTTGTAAAAATTCACTTGGGGATATTTTTGGTCTATATCAGCAAAAAATAGTCAACTTATGCTTAGATATCAGCTAAACAGTCAATATTTAAGGGATTTGATAAATTTGTTACTTTTACATTAACTCTAGTAACGTTATGGTATTTTTGCTTCTGGCTAACAACTTCGTGGGTATTTTTGTCCTTTCATTAGTCCACGTCAGCAAAGGTGGACACATAGCATGCACGGTCAATATTTAACGATTAAAATTAATGGTATTAGGTAAAGTTAACGGTTTGTCACTTTTGCACCTCCTCATATAGCATTATGGGTATTTTTATCATTTTCCTTACTTTAGGATATTGAGTGTCCCTGACTGATCACTTTGTGGGTATATTTGCTCCTTTACCTATATATAAACGACAATTAGACCCTCAAAATAATATAATTTTACTAAAGTCTCCATGAACTTAGATGTCAATAAATTTAAATTGAAAAGACTATTTTACTCTCATTGAAATTTGTGATTTCTTGTTCAATTCTTGTAATTTTTTAAATAAAAATTTTTATTCCTTAAACAAAAGCTATGATGAGAGTTTGTTATTTTGATAACTTATTTTTCAATAACAGAAATTACTTTTGACAAGTTGTGATTTTTTGTTTAACTTTTGTAATTCATATAACAAAAGTTGTTATTCCTTAAATAAAAATTGTGATCAAGGCTTATTTTTTAATAATAGAAATTACATTTACTAAGTTGTGATTTCTTATTTAATTCTTATGATTTATAAAATAAAAGTTATTATTCTTTAAGAAAAAGTTATAATTAGAGTTTGTTATTTTCAATAAAGGCAAAATGGTTATTCTACTCTAAAATTTATTGACATAGAATTTCCTAGGAACTTTTGTGGACTTATGACATTTTAAAAGATCATATTATTATTTATATAATTTGAGAGATTTTATTATTATTTTTCAAAAAATAAAATTCTATTGATCCTTTTTTAAAATTATTCTTCCAATGATAATAATAGTGTGAGTCTATAACTATATATATGAAATAAATGACAATCTAATCCGTCAAAATGTCATAATTCTACTAGAAATTTTTAGAATTTATTTTTTAATAAATTTTAAAGTAAAAAGACTATTTTATCCGTATTGAAAATAACAAGCCCCAATAACAACTTTTGCTTAAAGAATAAAAAATTTTATTCTGTGAATAACAATAATTGAACAAGAAATTATAACTTGTCAAATGTTATTTTTGTTATTAAAAAACAAACCCTGCTTATAATTATTGCTTAAAAAATAACAATTTTTATTATGTGAATTGCACAAATTAAACAAGAAATTTCAACTTATCAAGTATAATTTTTATTATTGAAAAATAAGTTTTCAAAATAGCAAATCTCAATCCCAACTTTTGTTTAAGGAATAACAACATTTATTTAAAGAATAGCAAGAATTGAATAAAAAATATAACTTATCAATAATGGTAAAATAATTTTTTTTAATTTAAAATTTATTAATATAGAAGTCCCTAAGAATTTCAGTGAAATTATAACTGGACTAAATTGTCATTTATATAATTTAGAAGATTTTATTATTATTTTTTCTTATTTTTTTTTACTCTATCCATCCAATTATGATATTTATATCTTAAGGATGTAATTGAGTTTCTAAATAGAACAAATAATTGTTCACCTCCATCGTAATATTTTTGTTACTATGCCCGATTATTAGGTTGAAAATATTGTTTTCTTTCATTTTCACTGGACTTTAATGTAATTATTTGTGGGTTATAATATTGTCAACAAAAAAATATTTATATTTAGGATGATGACAATTTGGATATGGTTTATATTTTAGCTTTGTATTTATATTATTCTATTTAGACTTTGAATCTTAGTGTTAATATTATTTTAGACATTTACTTTTGGTCCTTTAAAATTTATACATGCATTGAAAAATTTAAATTAAAAAAAAATACATGCGAACTCTTGGATCCAACTTTGAGCCCTAGCAATTAATGCTTGATTTTAAAAAAATGAGAAAGTTAAAATATAATGGCCTATGGCTTGATCACAAGTTCACAGCTGACCTATTTTAGCAACTTTAATTTGAGGCAATGTTTAAATCTAATGTAGTACCAATGGATATCCTATAAGGATGAAGAAATTCAACAATAACAAATAAATAATAATAATACTTTTATAATATAAATTAATAAAATGTTTTTTATAAAATAAATTTTATTATAAAAAAATTATATACTTAGTCATATATATTTAAGATGTTTGTTAAAAATTAAATAAAGATATGCATATCTTTTATACGTAAAGTATTTAGTATATCACAATTAACAAACTCTTATTATTCATATTATCAACACATTAAAATATATTTATTTTAATTTGATAGAATAAAAGTACACTAAATTTAGTTTTAAAATTAATTTTATGTGATAGATTAGATTTAATAACTAATATGATATGAGAGAATATCATATCAGTTATATAATTTAAATTTATAAGATAAATTTAAATTAGATATGGTATCATGAATTAAATTTATGTGATAAATTTAATTAAATTTTCATTGGCTCATTAAAGGAAGACTAAAACTCTAATCTATATAAATGATAGATAAGGGAGCGTGCTTCCCTAGTGAGAGTCAGAAAGAGTCCTAACAGTCAGACATTTTAAGAGCCACAAAACATCCTAGAGAAAATGAAAAATGACGTTCAAAGACAAACGAACGTTGGGAGCACTAGCATGCTGTTCGAGTTAGAGAGCTATTCTTGTGGATACCTATAAAGGGAGAAGATCTATATTGTTGGCTCCTAAGATCTAAATTCTTGTGCGGAACATGCGTGGAATTTAAAACTTAATAAATAACTATTCTATCTACCTTAACTTAAACGAGTTTATTCGGTGTATGTCGGGATATGGATTTTAAATTTTAATCTTTTGTTACGCCTCCCTATCCAACACATCATAGGTCTCTTAGAGAAGGATCACAGTTAGATCTTAAGGATCACATTAGACCCAAAAAGAGCTCAGTGAAATAGTTTAATTTCTAACTAGGCTAAAAAGGAAAGATAAGAAAAGTGAGTAAAAGTAATAGCTGATCTATGACCAAATGGTAATTATTAATGTTCAAGGGTAATTATATGTAATTAAATATAATAAGATTATAAGAAAGTACCCAGAGTTAAAAATGCATAAGATTAACATTAACCTAGAAATGTTAAGCTCAACCAGGTATAAAATATAATTTATGAAAGTTCGGGTATTAAAGTGTAATTATAAAAAATTACTCAAAATTTAGGAAAAATTAAAGAAAATTAGTATATGAAAGGAACAAATATTTAGAGGAATTATACCTACTTTTTTGGTTAGGAATTGCTTAAAAAAGTTACTTTACAATTTAAATTGCATTGG